AAACAAATTTTTTATTATTATGTAACATGTAAAACAAATACTTTTTGTAACATGAATTGTAAATTAATTACTATATACAGTGTATATATATTGTATATAGTAATTAATTTTAAAAATATATATATAATTTTCTTTTTTGGTATGTTTATCTTTCTATAATTAATAATTTAAATTGATTTTAAAGTTTTAACTGTATATATTTAACAAATACGAACCAAAGCCCAAAATGATTTGGTGAATACGTACAGTAATTGTAACAGAGATACTAATATAAATATTATATTAAATTAATATCTCAATAGTTGAATTTATAAATATTACAGAATTTATATAATTATCAATAAATTTGAAATTAAATATTGATTAAGTATATACAGTACATAATTTAATATTTAAGTTAAGCATTGAATAAAGTTTGTATTAGAAAAATTAGATTTGCTTTAATTAATTAATTTCTTGAGTTTAATTTCTATAAAGAATTATGTCTTATCTATATAGCTTAGTATTATATGTGTAATGAACAGAGTTAGTTCATTTTCAAACTTTCAATTATAAATGTGATTTATGAAAATATTTTAAAGTCTCTTTTTGATATTAATAATGATGATGATGGAAAATGTTTTTAGCAACTTTCAGGAAGATAATAAAACTATATAGTACAAAATATTTTGCAGGAAATTTAGAAAGAAATAAACGAAACAATCGGTACTCTGGATATTGGCATTCATTATAGAGATTCTCTTTATGTGCCAATTTAAATTACTTAAATTGCGAAATAAAAGAGATTCAAAATTAGACATAGCATTTACAGTATGCAAAAGATTGCCTAGATAAATTAAGACATAAAAAAGGCAGAACACAACATGAATTATATCAGAATTTCTAATAACTTTTATTTGGATATCTAAGAGTAAATAACTGGGGATTTAAAAGGCCATTAAAATAGTTATAAAATAAAATTAAATTGATTTTACAATGTTTATGAAATGATATCCAAAATTCTAAAAAATTCAACAGTTCAAAGTGAGCAGTAGTCTCTAAGACTTCAAGATTATGTGATTTTCAAATAAATCCTTTATTTCTAAGGAAGAAAATAATTATAGTTTTAGGAAGCTTTTAAAAGGGAAATATAGTCTCAAAACTTTGAAAACTTTTTAATACTGTTTATGTACTTATGAAAAGTATTTTTACTCTGAAAATTCTAACTGTAAAATAGAAAGTTACTTTTTTTAGCATTGCTTATTCAGCAGACTTTATTTAATGGGATATATAATTGGCATTCATAAATTTAGGTATGTAAAAAAAAAAAAGGATGACAGTCACATTATTAATAAATATACTTGTGTAAGTTAAATTTCTAGTATATATTTCAAACCTAATTAAAACTTATATTTATAATAAAAGTAAATTTTTACATTTACTACAATATGAACTTTACTTGAGAATCTATACTTGAAAAATTTGGAATACATTAAGGTAGTTATTTAAAAATTTATTTTATTTTTTAATATTTTGACATTTCACCATAATGAAGAAATATTTTATTAATAAAGGGATTTTTTACAGAAAAGTATAGTTTTTGTAAAGCTTAGATAAATAAACATAAAAATTTAATCTAAAAATTTTAATTGACAGGAACAGACAATTAGTAAATTTATAAAATAAATAGTCAACACACTGAATACTTAATTATTTACTTGTGATCAGTTTCTGTTACACTAATTCTTTTGTTTGTCAAAGGACTGTTTAATTTCTTTTATTTTGTTTTTAAAAAAAAGGTATGATATAATTTTCTTTTCTTTTACTTAACTAAAGAACGATCATCATAAAAAAATAATTCTTATTCATACTGTTTCCACTGAGTTATTTAATAGACTAATTACATATTAAATAAGATACATGAAGAATATAATATGATATGCTTTAGATATCATAAATAAATTTTATTCACACAAGTTTTATTTACGGTACTTGTATAAAATCCTTTTATACAATTATGTAATCTATACTATTACAACTACCACTACAACAACTGCAAAATAAAAATATATTAAATGCCATACAATGCTTCTTTATAATTTGTTCTAGAATTCTACTTTTTTTTTTTTTTTAAGTTCTTAAGTTTGATTGTATTATTCTTCAAATAAAAGCAAGATTTCTATATTAGTTGTATTTTCTTGTTTTAAAGATGTAAATAAGTAAAAACAACTTCCTAAAATTATAATTTAAAAAAAGTTTTTAATATAAGTCTTTATCGTGATATAAATTCGTTTAAAAAATTAATTGTGAAATTTTTTTATATAAAATTCAGTGTGTTGTTTTCAAGATGACAATTTTATTGTAAATTAAACATACATGCAGAATATCTGAAAATATTCTGTGGAACTAGATGATTTCATAGAACACAATTTGAAAAAAATTGGTGAATATCAAATTTAAAACAACTTATAATCCTAAGTTTGAGTTATGTCATATGGTATTTTGTGTGTTACACTCTTGGATAATATAGGTTCAGGTAAATAAACTAAGTTCACCAGTGTAAGTTTGGATTTTTTAGTCAAAATTTTGGTGTATGGCATTCAGAAATAAACTAATTGCTTCTAGTGCCAGCACTAAATATACTGTGTTTAGACTGTTTTTCCAACAGCACAACAATATGACTGCTTCCATGTGTTAACAATTTTGTTATGAAAAATACAGTTTCTTTACTTTTGGATGAAGAATTATCTCAGAGAATTGAAAATAGTATGAATGTTATATAAATAATGTATAATATTATTTTTTGACATAGTAGTGAGACCTTGTAAAGTTGCTTTTCTGACATTTTAAAAGCATGCACTAAGATTGTTTAAGATTAGGAACTATTTGAATATATGCTTACATCAAACTTTAATATTACTATTGCATTATTAGTAAGTTGTATACTGGAAAATATTCAACTTCTTTTTGCCATAATGTATGTGAGTCTAAAAAGAATAAAACGTTTTAATTAATGTGAATACTTTTATATTAACTGCAGATTGCAAATATTTAAAAAAAAAAGTTTCAGTGTGTTTCAAAAAGCAAACCTTGTATTTACTTGTATTTTAAATATTCTGTGTTTATCCTATGTATTTCTCTTTCAGATCTGTACAGTTGTATCTGTACATGTACAGACTTTTTTCTTTTGTTTATTTCCTAATATAACAACTATTTACATAGCATTTACTAAGTCATTTTATATAAGGGACTTGAGCATTTGTAAAGTTTGATATCTGGAGGGAAGACTTGGAATTAATTTCTGCCAAGGAATTTTATAATTTTATAAACACTTTCAAATATACAAATAAAAATTCTCAGTTTCATTATAGGTTGACCTTAGTTTAATTAGATTAACTGTTGTTTCTGTTTTCAAACTGAAAAATGAAAAGTTTCATCATCATCAGTTAATTTTAAACACGTATAAATTATAACTGCTAGTGAAATGCATAAAAACATCATCAGTATAATACATAAGATTCTACGAATGATTATTGCAATTTGTAGACACTATGCTGATCTTCAGTTTTACGGGAACAGGAAAGAGAAAAACAAATGAATTATTATGTTTAGATTTTTTTCAAATTGAAAATAATTTTCATATTTTTAGTATTTATTTTGCATATTTTATTTTATATTTTCTGATTTTTTTGTTTTATGCTACAATAATTACTACTGTATTATAAATAAAACTATTTACCATTGGAAACATAATTTTTCTTAAGAGGGAATGTTTTTCGATCGATGTCGGTCCTATAAATTAGCGTGGTCGGAGAGGATAAGTAGCCCGGGNATACAGTAACTATTTATTCAGTGATATAATTTATGGATATAAATAAATTCCATAAAGTCTATGATATTCTAGAAAGTTTATTAGAAATATTGGTTTAAAATTGTATAATTAGTCATCTTCAAATTTCTCATGAAACTTTGTATATTTGAATTAAATTTGAGTTTAAATTAAATATTTTATATATCCAATATTAATTTATAATTATTTTGATTATGTGAATTTAGTTACTTTACACAATGTAAAGATAATGTTGTTGTATTTTATTTTTTTGTTAATATATTTGACACTGTTCTATACATTTTATATGATTGTTCAGTTTTGTTTTCAGAACAAAAATTTAGAAAAAATTTGGAAATTAAAATCTGACATTTTATTGTAATAATTGACATAATTTGTCAATTAAATAATCTAAATAATTTATGTACAGTTAAAATATAAATAAATATCATATATTATAAGTAGACTAGCATTTTTATTATAGTGTACGTCATGAAATTTACACAATTTCTGTGCTACCTCATAATATGTAAAGATTTTGGAGGAAAGCATCAGCATTCTTTAAAAGACAGGATTCTTAAACCAGAAATGTTATGTGTAACCTATCATTTTCTTTTTGGGTCACACTTGCATTTAAATTGCAAGATCCTCACACTCAATGCAGGTGCTTTGCATGAGAATCTTTACCCTTTTATTGAGAGCAAGTGCTTTCCTACAAGGCAAAAGAGGCACTCTATAGATTTTGTGACACACATTGTTAACAGCCAGATAGCAGAGTGATTAAGGTGACAGCTTACTGCTCTGGGGATCTTGAATGGGTTAAAAAACACTAGGAGTTTTTTGAGAGTGGTCCATCTATAAATATTGGGTGCCATCTCTCACACCTGGTTGCACAATTGTGAGGGATAGTCAAACAAATAATCAACTTGCTAAAAAAAAGCCCTAAGAGGGCCCACAGAATGGAAGGAATTTAAAAAAAAAAAACAAGAAAAAGAAACATGCTCCACAAAATAAAAATTAATATAGAAAGTATAATAAACTAATAATAACATTATACTTAAAAAAAAGTATTTAGTTTTTGTATTTTAGAAATACAACAAATAAATGTTTTGTCTAAGTATAATTTTAAAATTAAATTATATTATTTTCCATATTGATAATAAGAATTAAGTATTGGTTTTCTCCTTGTTAGATTACTCTTGATATCTTAGCCGAAATGGGACATGAAGAGTTAAAACAAATTGGCGTAAATGCTTACGGTCATCGTCATAAACTTATTAAAGGCATAGAAAAACTTTGTGGAAGTCATCGTAAGTATAATTTTTATTTACAAAAGAATTTCACCCTATAATAATTTATAATAATCTTGAAAGATATAATTTTGTTTTATTAATTATAATTAACATAATACAATTATAATTTTTTTTAATTAGATTATTTTTTATTAATTATTATCATAGAGATATTAAAAAGATAATAAAATCTTTTTAAGATCTTTATATGTTTTAATAATGTGAAATTATTTAACCAAATTAAGAGTTTCACCGGAAAAAAACAAAATGTATTCTATAATAGAAAGTGGCAATTTTAAGAAAATTTAACGTCAGTTATCATATGAGATGCATTCTAAGATCAGAATAGCGAAAAAGTAATTAAATGTTTATTCTAATTAAGGCTGCATTATATCAGATTAGTTTGAATTACTTTTATAAAACTGTTGGTGAATAAAAATTAGATTTATTTTTTGAATTATTATTTTATTTAAATATCGGTTTAGAAATATTAATTATTTACAATTCATGATTAAGGTAATTTAACTTTAAAATTAAATTTAAATTTACAATATTTAATTGTGAAAATAAACATTTGTTTTAAAATTAAAAGAAATGAAGAATTTATGAATAATTAAGCAATTTTTGTTTTATTTGAATAGAAAATATCCAGATAATGAGTATGCGTGAAATATTTTATATTTGTTATTTTATTATAACTTTTTACAATAGTTAATTATATTAAATGAGAATCTATATATATAACCCATTCATTTCGTGTCCGTCCCGTAACCGTTTCATAACGGACACTAGAGGCGCCCCTATCGTGTGTCATATTTCAAACATTCAAATTAACAATTTTAATTATTATTTAAATTAACAATATAAATTATTATTATTCATTTGGCCAATAAATTATTATTTGGTCAATATAACAATATAAATAATTCAGTATATTTGTAATAGGAATTTATTATTTCAGGGGCTTATATCTCGCGAAGGGTCGCGAGTAGGGGTATGGTTCCTTTGACTTTATTGTTCGCACAGGGGGCTACAGTTTGGGGGGATCGCCACCTCTTCATTCGGAGGGTAAATCTTACCATTCAGACTTTTACAGAGCTGTAGGGCATATTGATAGGAACAAAAAAGTCAAAGGAACCGTGCCTCATGGAAATTTGTAAAGAACGCCCACTAGGGGGCGTCCCTGGCTACTAGTATACTATAATAACACATTTTTAGAGCATAAACATATTTTATAGAATAATTATTATTGTTATTTTTCTTATATCAAAAATATACATCGTGTAACAATATTTGTTTTAGCCTCTATTCAGTATCTCCCTAGTACTCCAGGTACAATTTTAATAGATTTATGCATGGAAGACAAGGAATATATTGCTGTTCAGGATGAGGTAATAATAATTACAACTTTTTTTGTGAAAAAAAAATATATCTTTAACCTTTAATACAGCAATATTTAATGAAACTTCCGATATCTAGATGCAAAGTTCAATTAGAGAGCATAGGGATAACGGACATGCGGGTGGCATATTCAATAAATATAATATATTAAAGGTAAGCTAAAAATTATCTATATAAAATAACAATAAAGATATTTGTTTAATTTTATTTTTAATTTAGAAAATATAAATTTGCGTTACGATAGTTTTAAACTAACAAATTTCTCTGATTTGATAGAATCAATTTTTTAATTTTTGATAGCTACTGTTTTACTAATCTTTAATCATTTTATCTGTTTTATTGTTGTTACTGTTTTTAGATTCAAAAAATTGCCAATAAGAAATTATGGGAAAGATATTGCCATAGAAGAGGAGAAGTTGCAGAAGAAAATCATAGGCAGTCTAACGAACGCATGCTTTTTCATGGTTCACCATTTATTAATGCAATTGTTCAAAAGGGATTTGATGAAAGACATGCATATATAGGTGGAATGTTTGGTGCAGGTGTGTTTTATATATATATTTATATAATAATTTCTGTAATAGATTGTAACAAATTAAAATATACAAAATAGTAATTAAGTTTTATTAATTAAATATTGAGATAATAAACTTAACAATAAATTTCTTGCAGAAATTTCTAATGATAAAACAATTAAATTAAATTAATTAATTAATTAGGTTTATGTATATAATAATAATATATTTTAGAATTCTTTGTAGTCATTGTTTTAAAAAACTTTTTATTTTATTTTTCATTAGTTTATAAATTACATAGTAGATTACATAACTCCCAATGCTGTCTGAGAATTTTCAGCAATACATTGAATGAAAGTATTAAACTGATCAAAGCACACTTCTTTTTTCAAATTGAAGAAGACAATGAAAATGAGGGGAAAAACTTTACAGAGTCATTGTGTGAACGAAAAATAGTGCCAGTGACAGTGATAGATGGCCATTTGTCTGATACATTGGAACTTGACCCCTTATTGTTTTTAAATAAACTTTAGAGCTACTACTTTGACAAGCACCAGCAAGTAGGCAACCCTATAGGTTTACAGGAAACCTCCTGCCAAAATGTTCAGATAGTTGTTACATATTTCATGAGAGGTACTTTCAGTCAGAAAGGAAGGGGGATAAATTCAATTTTCAACACAATTGGGGTACTACTATTACTAGCATGATTGTTATGTCTAGAGAATTGTCAATTGAGCAACCTCAATTTAAAGTGATGCTGAAGTGACATATTTTATGAAACATTTTTATCTCATGGGTATATTAAGGAATGAAACTAAAAATTGCAACTCATCGTCCATTTTTAGCTTGTAATATTAGTTTTTACCTAACCTTGAAGAGACTATCTTATTATTTCACAAATAGATTATGATCTTGAAAAAAAAAAAGTTATTTTGTTTAAGGTTTGATGGGAAAAAGTGGTATTTTCTTTTAGATTATTTTTTTAAGGAAAGCTGTATTCCTTTGATCAACATTATCCTTTTATATAACTATTTAATATAGAACCAATAAAGATATAGATATGTGTGAATAAAAATAAGGAGCGCAGGTATGGGTGCAAATTTATTGCCACTCGCTACCACCACTACCATCAACACACATAATTTCAGGGTGGGCGTATTACTCCTGCCGTAATGGATGTTATATGTTGCTAGCATCGATAACGGTTAGAAACAGTAATTGGCAAGGGGGAGGCAGGCACTTCATTAAGCCCATAGAATCTGGGTGTGTCTGCCAGTGTTGGTAATTAAGGATGATTATCCTTGGAAGTAATGGCTGACTGGTGTAATTATCCCACAAACTTTTTACTTCTGTGACTGTAAACTTTGATCTAACTAAGCGGATGGGTCATGCAATGAATCCAAGGTGTCAATGAGTATAAAGAGTGAGAGGTGTGCACAACTGCATCATTTATATCATTTTATGATCTCCTTATCATAAGAGAATCAGTTAAAATTGTTAGTAAAAATGATATTAGATTAAACTGACAAATTGTCCTTTCATTAAATAAATGAATGATTTCTTATTTACTCTGGAATTTGTTCATCCAAAATTATCTGCTAATAAAGATATTTTTTTATTGTACTCTATCAATATCAAAATGTGTCTAGAGAATTTAATTTTTAAGAATTTATTTCAATAAATAGAGAAAGTTTTCAATGAGAAGTTTAATTAAGCTTGATGAAAGTTTAACGAAGTTTTGATGAAGGTCGCCCAGGGGGCTAAGCACACAGTGTTGGGTGGACTGCTGTATTAATTACTTGATCAAATTAGTCAATCTTTACACATTTCTTTTCTGTATTGTAATATAAGTATATATATATATATATAAATTATATTACACTGAAAAGTATAAAAATAAATAAATTTATAAATANAAAATGGAATACTTTTAAATAAAATTTAAAAATTTTTATATATACTTAATAAAAGAAATTTATTGTGTATTTTTTAAAATAACATTTTCAGCTTTTACATTTACATTTTAATTATTTAGGAATATATTTTGCCGAGAATTCCTCTAAAAGTAATCAATATGTTTATGGTATTGGAGGAGGCACAGGTTGTCCAGTTCATAAAGATAGATCATGCTATATATGTCATAGGTAATTGTTATAATTTTTTAAAATAAAATAATAAGTTTGAGTATTTTTAACATGCATACATTTTCATTTATTACGTTATTGTTTTAAGGAATGCTTCATATTTTAAGTAGAGATAAATAACCAATTTCAATATTCATAATATCATAAAGTTGATATTCATATCAACTTAACAACTTAATACATCAGCTCCAGGTAAAAAGACAAGGCATTTTAATCTGTCAAATGGATTGTTTGCTGTTTTTGTTTTATGTTAGTATGACAGGCAACATTCAATATCATGATTCACTTTCCAAAAAAGTACATTTTAAGAAATGCCATTGTTACTGTGTTGTTTAGTCTGTAAATGTTTGAATACCATCTGAAACAAATACTAACAAAACAAGAAATCAATTGGCTACAAAACAATTTAACCAAGAGGTTCTCTTTTCTTTCAGACAAATGCTTTTATGTCGAGTGACTCTAGGCAAATCTTTCCTGCAGTTCAGTGCGATGAAAATGGCGCACGCTCCTCCGGGGCATCATTCCGTAATAGGTCGCCCCAGTGTGGGCGGTCTGTCCTATCCCGAATACGTCGTCTATAGAGGGGAACAGGTGAGAATATACGATTTTCGTAAACATCTTTAAAAATATAATTATTAATTAATTACAAAATGTTAGATAAGAATTACTGTCCATAAAAACTGAATGTTTACTTTATCTTTTTCCAGGCTTTTCCAGAATACCTCATTTCCTATCAAATTGTAAAGCCAGAAATAGAACATCCATCATCATGATGACAGTTTTCACCTCCAAAACAATTTTCATCTGTTTTGGGGGTTTGTACAGATAGCAAGTTTTGTGTGTGCTGCTCATTTTTTATTGTTTTGTGCATACCCATGTGTTACAGAATTTTTTGATGAAATACCATAGTTTCCATAAAGAAGCAAATGTTATTTGCATTCACTTAATATGACAATATCAAAGCAAGATAAAATTGAAAAACAAAAAAAAATTATATTTTTTCCTTCAAAAATTGTTCTATCATTTGAAAGAGACATTATTTTTTAGAAGGAAAAAAATTATTTAAGAAGACTTTAAAAGTATTTCTTTTTTTATCAAAGAAATTCTCCAGATCTGTGATATTTATTTTTTTCTCTTTCAATTATACAAAAAACAAAATTTAGATATTTAAAGCATACTCCGACTTAGTGTGAAGGTTTTAATTTAAGAAATTGATATTCACAACAGCAGTTTTGATTGCCATTTGAAGTAGTCTTCCAAAGAAGCAAGGATTTTAAAACAAACTTTATTTTAATGCCATATATTTTAATTTAATTTTTTTTTCTTGTTTTTTTTAATATCAAATGAAATTGTAAACCTGCCTTGTAATTTTGATCAAAACAGAAAAAAAAAGTAGATAAAACATTTATTATTTTTGGTATTTACTCGGCGCACTTTGAATAATAACAAATAAGGAGGAACCGTTCATAAGTTTAGTTACTCATCATCACTTTCAAGATATCATATTGTAAATATAATTATATAAGCATAGAATTATGTCACATTTCCATTTTTTCATCTAATAAATTAAGAATTAATATTAAACAATATAAGCTCATCCCCAAGCATTCCAAGTTCCTGTATAATTTTTATATATATTATATATATATATATATATATATATATATGTATATATATACATATATANATTTATATATATATATATATTTTGAATTTTTATTTGCAATATTGTATAAAATGGATGAATAAACCAAAAATTGAACTTTACCATAATAATCAAACCGTGGTTTATAATTGTCGCCCGTAAAATATATACAAGTCCCGCAGGAGTAAAGACCACACAACCCAGTAATTATCTTCCATCCAAATTTTAATTTGTACTCATAACATTGTTACGCTGTACAATATACCAACAATAAAAAAAATTATTTGGAAAAGTTTTTTTATTATTATTATTTTTTTTCCATCTTCTCTATCTCTCCTCTTTCCTTTTTGGCTTCTTTTGGCTACCAGGAATAACAAAAATCAATTAATATTCATACCGCATAGCGAAAATTAAAGAACTCAGATTGAGACAAATGCATCATTTGTAATGCAAAACAGAAGAGGGAGAGAGCGAGTCGGATTATGCAGCTAAAGGTGGAATTAAAGAGGATGCTAACAAAACTCTTTACCTCTGCTTTTCTAATTCCAAGAATGGTGATATTACTTGTTGAAGAATTGTTAAAATTCCATTAAACAATTAATTCTTCTTCTTTTTTTTCTTCCTCCTCCTCCCCCTCTTTTTTTTATTTGTCAGTTTTTGTTTTCAAATAGAAAATTTGATATTCTTAAAAGCTAAATTAGAATTTTTCTTCTCTAATTTTCCTCCCCCCGCTTCTCTCTATAGATAACAAAATTAATCAAACAGTTATCTCGTTTACTAATTACAGAAAAGAGAGTAATTGTCCAGAGATAATTATGTGTGTTTTAATAACGTTCCAGTTAAAATATTTTTGAGTTTTTCCAACGGGGGGAGGAGGGCCGTTACATAAAAATTCGACAACGGGAAGTGGGGTGGAGTTTAACGGAACGGAACAGTGTCGAATTTTCTAATTACGGAACGGTGGGAGCGGAGGAAACGAAACGAAAACCGGTAATCCTAATTAAATGCCAAATGAAAAATTTAAGTACTGTACCAAGAAAAAAATCAACCGTTTGTTCTTTTTTTTTAAGGTCAGTTGATTTAAGAAAGTCGCCACGATAAACAAAAGTTTCCTCCATTTTTTTTTTTATTTTAAATCGACCAGAAAAAGAATTTATGTGAAGAAAAAAAAGAAAACGGTAATTTATCAATTTGAGTTACTGATTAATATCGGATCAGACGATTAATTTCTCGCCCACCTCGGTAATGAAACTAAATGAAGTTGCCGGTGAGGACGGACGTTTGCCAGAAATTAACTTCCTGTTAATGCATGCTAAATAGATTGTGATTTGGAAACCGGCGGTTAATCAAATCAAGAAGATTCTCTGGCGTTCGGCCGTTGGAGATGCCAAAAAAATATATGAATAAATAGACTAAAAAAAAATGGCGGCTGTATTGCCTATCTCCATTGGAATTTTTAATTAGCAAGATAAACGCGGAGGAAGAGGAGGAAATAATTAGCGATCCAGGTGCGAAACGGAAGATTTTCGCCGTTTTGGAAGTAAAAGATGTTATCCGATATGGAAGCGAAGCGAAGAGGAAATAAGAAGAAGAAAAGTCAAAGATTGATCCGCTCTTCTCCGTTTTAAACACGAGATTTTTTGAATCAGTGAACAGGAAACATTTCCCGCAGATAAAGCTTCGGAGCCACGGCAGATGGCGCAACAGTTATAAAAGTGGCGCGGACGTCGGGGGTATCGATCGGGTGGAGGGGGCAGAACATTCACTTATCCCGCCGGGGGGGGAGGAATTCTCTGCTTAATTACCTGTAAACACCAGTTTGTTTTCCCGTCCGAGTCTGCACGGATGATATCGGGCCGCCAGGTGCAACTGCACCGTGACAATGTTAGCGACCAATGATGAATTTTGTATTAGCCTATCTCCGGTTTCGTTTCTCGCTAACGGGAGATTAATAGTGTTGGGGATCCACTGGCCCGTGTTGATGCCAATTAATAACTACCTCCTCTCCCACATCCGCCATTTTTATAAGCTCCCTCTTCGTTTTGAATTAATCATAGTAATTGTTACCTGCTCGTCCTTGGCCCTTTTTTTTGTTTGTTGTTTTTTTTTACGACTCGTTGTTACCCCTACAAAAAATGGAGGATGTCACGTCCATCCAATCGCTATATTTTCTTTCAATAAATTAGTTTACAGAATCATTTTCGAGTTTTACGCTTTGTTAGTGTCCTATACAATTTTTAAAATTTCATTTTTTCTTTTTTTTTTTCTTCCTCTCATTTCTTTCGCCAATTCCGATAGGGGCAATTTAGGCGTTGTTATCGACCAACTTTCGTTTTATTCATTATCTATTTTGTAAACAAACCTTCCTCTCCGGATCATCCGGATATTCCGCTCTCCATTTTCTGCCCTAAACCGGAAGTTTGCATTGTTTTATAGTTTCAATCGATGCTATCGAAGGGTTAAGAGTTGCATCGTGGTCCTAACCTATCCGTCCAAATTCCCAAAACTCATTTCCGCTCAGTTTTAATCTATTAAAACTAAAATATGTACCTTTCAAATTCCATTTTGTGATCGTAATTCCACCTAAATTAGGATTTTTCTGTGATTAGCGTTGGTTTTATTGTCAGAGAAGTGGATTGTGGCCCAAAAGGGAACCATTGAAACCAAAGTAATGTATAATAGCCATAACGACGTAACTACTGATTCTTGCAACTCTTAATGTCCTCTGCTTCGGATGCGGAACAAACTCTAAAGGAATTTTGAGACTTATTACACATTCCATTTGTTTCAAATGATACCAGGAAATAATTAGATTTGTGTCTGTTTACACGAAAAACTTCAGCTATGGTTTCTCACATTAATTAATATCCGATTTCGTCATTTCCCTTCCACTTTCTGTGGCGCCCTGGCAAATTTGAAATAGGAGGCCCCATGTACTGTAGCGTTGACTTCAGACAATTTTCCTTGGGGGAATTTTTTGGAGAAATATTTTCTTATAAAAGATTGCTTTGAGACTGTCCTTGGAGGTCTAGACAATTGCGCTTTTTGCCCGTAAGAAAACGAGCCACTCGAATGTATTTCGAGTTTTCGCGCCAGATATTGTTAAATCTTAGGGAAAATGGGCATTATTTACCATTGGAAACATAATTTTTCTTAAGAGGGAATGTTTTTCGATCGATGTCGGTCCTATAAATTAGCGTGGTCGGAGAGGATAAGTAGCCCGGGGTGTATAGTTAAAGCGTTTATAAAAAAAAAAAGTGTGGGTATAATGGCGGCCCCGTCCGTGCCGTAGACAGTGGAGCGGCAGCTGTCAAGCGACTCCTCACTTTACTGCAACCGACATAACTATTACATTTAATCACTAGCCGACCGTAACAATCAATGCCTTTCCCGCAACACTCGATCCACGCGACTCTCCTTCCAGCAATTACACTTAGTTTCTTGGCTTGTTTACTTCCGGTCGAGCCGAGTCATTACTCGACTCCCGAGTATCCGGTTAACCGGGGCATCCCGTCAATTAAACCCGCTGATCCACCTGGCATCCGATTGAAAGCGCCAGTGCCACTTCTCTCCAATAATTTCCAGTTACTCCGTAACCGGATTACGAAACGTCGGAGAATTATTTGTAAGTAAAACGTGCCTGATCGATAAGCCAGAAGGGAAATGCTCTCTGGTGGAAGGCGGCTGAAAGAAAACTGTACTTGGCATCGTCTTACTCTTGTGCAGTGCTGCCACTTCGTTTAAAATCGGTTAGAGTAGAAACTACGATCGGAAGAACGCGCGTGCTTTTGTTTTGATTTTCATATTGTGACGTCTTTGCTTTCGTCGAAGCGGAAGTAAAGACGGAAGTAGTGAGTCGTTAATGTTAAACCGAGATTGAAGTGGGTGTTTTCGAAGGAAGTGGAGTTGCAATTAATGCTGGTTTTCTGGATTATCAATTTGGGATTTGTGAAACATTCCCGATTGTATAAAATAATCTGGATAGGTCGGTAAATCGAAGGAGTATTCCATAAAGTAGGAGCGTTTGTTCCGTCTTTCCGACTCGATGTCACAAATTCTCGATCCTTTTTGTGGAGGGAATTAATTTGGAAATCTTTGCCCAATGAATTTTAATTTGTCAAAGAGTCGGGCCGTATCGAAATATCACGGTCGGAGACGACTTCCGGCAGGGTACACAAGTTTAGGAGAGGAATGTATCGATAGGGGCGCCACGAAAAGACCGGAAGTACCGAAGGAGGCCGTAATTTACTTCCGGCAGAACATCTGGACTCGAGCGATATTTTGCTGCATTTAAATGGGGCCGACGCCGTTGGGTCGCAGTCGTCTGGTCAGAAATGGAATGTGGTAGTTTCGTTGGGTCGAGTGCGAACCCATCGGTCGCAACGATCTTTTTATTGTCGATTGACCGTCCCCATTGGAAGACTAAATCGAAAGCTCTTTGGAAAAGTCGACCCACCTCCACTTTTATAACCCATAGCTCCGGTTCCAGTTCCAGATCGGAGTCAGACTCGGGGGACCGACTTTAAGTCCAGGCCATCGGGCCGGATGGCCGGATAACCTATACCAAAGAAATTACTAAAAATAGAATTCTGGTGGCGATTCGAATGGCCGAATTCTCCTCCCCCTCCGAAAATCGTAACGCCCGGCGGTGGTTACTCGACGATTAAGTCGATACGTCATCGTCCATCTGCATCATTTTTCCGCTCTCTTTCATCCGGGATCGGCTTTAATCCTTGGGTGCGGCGATCCGGATAGTCGGATATATATTTCTTTTTTCCATTCGTGTTTAATAAAGTCTCGCGCCTTCCCCTTGTTTTTTATGGTATTTCTGCGAAATTACGAAGAAGGCAATCGATTCCGGGCTACTTTTACCTGTTTTCTAACTTGGCCCCGCGCCATTAAACTTACGAAACTACTCCAGCGGCCAATCGGAAAGCGTGAGAGAAGAACGGATCCTCTAACGTGCCCGGATAAGCGGACGGATCCGGATAAA